CTGTTACCCGCTAAAAGCTACCCGCTACTAGCTAATTTTTCCGAACACGCCCATAGTGAAAAAAATAATGTATCTCCAAAATTAAACATACCTAAGAATTAACAAGGTACTTATAATCCTTTTCACCCATAATAAATGAAATATAGCAATGAACTTATAAAGTTTTACCCAAAATAATTTTTTACTTCATTTTATGATGAATATTAGAGTTATCAAATTTACATCTTTAACAAATTCATAAATGATGTTCATAGCAAGGGCAATCTATCACCCTAAACTCAAACTTATAATTCGTGTCTGGGATGCAAAAATATGGTTGCAAAAAGGTTATGAAATGTAAAAATTACATACCACTTACCAATAGTGAATATTGCAATTTTTTTACTTCCAATTACCAATTTCAGTGATGATTACAAAAGTGAAAAACGCCATACATATATTGAAAAATCAAATAGCCAAAAACCCATTTCAAAACCTCTAAACCCATATCAAATTTACACGATTAGGGTTTTGGAAATGTATATTCCGTTGAAACAAAGAACGATTGGAGAATTTGGAAGAAAGAAGAAACTAATTGAAACAAAACAAGCAAAGATAATTACATTTTCTTGACGACTTCAACAACATTAAGAAATCGACAATAGATTCCTTATAATAATCTTCAAAAATTATTGATAATACTGATTTTATTGAGCAAACATCTCAGTTACAAAATCGATCAATTAACAAGCAGATAAAAGTAAAACAAGATCACATAATCTTACTGATTTGGGGTTGTAGTCGTTTATGGATGATTTGAAAACCAAAAATAAATTATGCATGAAGCTGAAGGCATAACTTACGAGGACATTGGAGACCTTTGATTGTTAATTCTTCTTGAAAAACAAAGCGTCGGCCAATCGAACTTCAGCAAGGCACATTTTGATTTATGAATTGCATGCAAGAAAGAGAGTCATTTCACATTTGGGCCCGAAACACCTAATATCAATAGCAATCTAAATGGGGACCTATATAACCTTGGGGCTATTGGTCATCCTCCAAACTGCCCCTATTGGTACGACACTAGGGATGAGCGTGGGACGGAACCGACACCGACCCGTACCATTCCCGATTTCCTGAACAATGAATTTGATCGAAAGTCAATCCCGAGTAATGTACGGAATTAACGTTATCGGTAACGGTACCGGGAATGGTACTGATTTTCGGTACTAATACCGATACCGATGGTACCGAATCCCGAATTTCTTGATTTGGTACAAACTGCTCGTCATTATATGAAACTGATTAAGCACATCATCACCACTAATATCATTAACATTTTCCTCACTAATACCTTTTTCATCTAATCTATTTTCATGTAGAACTTCTTTTTGGAATGCATATGATACATATTCTTACACATTTTCTCCTCTTCCATATATTATTCTTGGATGGAATCATCACTCCTATCTCCTTGTTCCTCCGACGTCTCATCCCTAATATCAAATCAACTATTCAGTCCACCAACTTTATTATCTTCGTTTACAATCTCTGGCACCTTCCCTAAAAATTCTCTTGCACGTACATCACACACCATACCTTCCAATGTGACTTCCACCGTATATGAACTTATGGAGGAAATCATGGTTTTAATACACACCCTCCTTCTAGTTATGTTTTCATATTGATCTTCATTTAGGAACAAGACCATTCACTAAAACACTAGAAACTTTTTTGAACATGCTAGGTATCCATGCACTCAAAGGTAGGCCATCTATCTCCAACCACACCAAATGTTCATTTACTACAAAGTTTTTTGTTACCACCCTTTTATCCCACTAGGTTGCTTGAACTTCACACATGCACTCTGATACTTAAACAAAAGATAAGCCCATGCAACTCCAATCTAGTTAATCTGTAAATCCGTAAATATCTTTCATCCATGCATAAATTATAGAGACTTGCAATTGTTTTAACCTCTCTCACCTCACCTAGAGCAAAGCTTTCAAAACCATGTATTATTAATAAGGTGGTGTTTGTTTTTTTTGTTTATAAACTCTTCTAAACTCTTACACCTTCTGGCGGGAAGACGTTTTGGCTCGCAGACTGTTTATTATTTCGAAGACCCCAAACATCAAAACGTTTGTAGGTCCTCTTTTCCTTGAATACATGGACCAAACATTTCTAAACTCTTATAACTTTTGAAGATGTAAAACATGCCTTTACCTAATAAAAATGTCATTCTTTTTTCTTTTCGCTTCCCATCGTCATGTTCACCCCTTTCTTCCCCCGAGTTTTTTTCTTGCCCTTCATCCGTCTCCCTTAGTCTTGTTCTGCTACTTCATGTTTTGAAGACTACTGGCGCCGACACTCTAGACAATTGTTGCTGCTTCGTCGATGCTCAAAACAGAAGCGAAGGCATGTGTAGTGAAGGTAGGTCCTAGGATCCTTCTATTTTTTAAAATGTAATACATATTATATATCAAAAATATTTGAGACCTAACTTACAAATTACCAAGGACCTACCTAATAATGTTTAGCAAAAAAAAGTGTCAAAATGTTTGAAGCCATATTTTATACCCCAATCCATTTAAAATAGTCCAATGCCCCAATCAAATTAAAATTTAATTAATAGGTAATAGCCCGGTCCATTTAAAATTATACAAAGGAAAAAAAATAACAAAAAAATGTTTTTGTGAAACATCGCCTATCAACAACACCTTCGACTTCAAGACACACATGTAACATGATCATCTTTGATTTGGATAAAATAATGAAAATGACTATAGTTGAGAACTTTGAAGTTATGTTTAAATATTTTAAGGCATACGACCCGACCCGCCTCTAGTTTTTTACTCTTTCATTTTTTCGGTTTCATTTAAATAAGGAACCATGTGATTTTCGGTTCTAGATTTGTCATTGTCTCCAAACAAGTTGTGTCATCGTTTGTTTCTTCCCTTTTTCGATGATACCTCGTGGAACCACCTCAACACCGGTGCCGACATACCAGATGATATCCTTAAAACTTGTAACATCCCAAAATTAAGGCTGAAAATTTTATTTTTAAATAAGTTATTATAAAACCATAAGTAATAAAACATCCCTAATAACATCTCATGTCAAAAACCAAAGTAGAAATAATCAAAACATGTTATCATAAAACAATATCAGAGTGTAATCCCCAAGATCTCATGTGCGGAAATATAGTGTGATGCGCTGCGATCGAGCCGACTCATTTCCTTTAAAAACGAAGTACCTGAAACCAAAACTGAAAACCGTAAGCACAAAGCTTATTGAGTTCCCCCATCATACCACATACCATACAGTAACATACATAGCTAAGCATATCTGGGTGCCGGCCTCCCCTTCGGTCTATTTCAACCGGATAGCTGCCTAGTGATGGGTTTTGAGCATTCTAACATTCCTATGGTGTACATGCAACCCTAGAAACCTTGGATCTATGTTTGACTAAGATACATGCAAATAATTATTTTCCAAGGTTCTTATCCTAACTAGCATGACATGGGGTACTTGAATCAAATAAAACTAGTAGAATTACTTACCTTGTAGTAGTAGTTGATTGCTTGGAGTTTGAGAGCCTAGCACCAATAATATGGATGCCTCAAATGGAAGTCACAAATCACCACAAACTTGGAAACTTGAGAGAATAGTCACAAACTTCTTGAAATCGGCCCTCTTAGTTTACACACATCAACTAGTGCAATTTCAAGAACCAAAGCCTCCTTTATATAGTGTGGTGGATTAGGGTTACATCCATGTAAACCCTAATACCCATGTCTTTTCATTTCCATGAGATCCATGGGTTAAAGCTCCATGGAGTATCCATGGACTTTCCATGCAAGCCTAGCCCATTCCAAATAAGCATTAGCCCACACTATATAAATACAAGAGCCCATATTTAATTAGTCATACTTTTGATCTCTAAATTAATTCTAAATTAATTATAGATCAATACTAATTAAATAATATGATTTTATATTAATATATTAGGACTTATAATATATTAATAAATCATAAGTTATACTATTCTCAAACGATTATCCATAAATTGTTCGGGTGAAGTGCAACCCAAATGGACCATGCCGGGTCGGGTCAAGTACATACCAAATATAATTATGGACTTAGACACTATCTCCAACAGTCTCCCACTTGGATAAGTCTAATAACTATAGTTGCAAGTATGACTTCAGGAACCGATCAGCAATCGTAGCTCTTAAAACTCTGTTGAACTATGAAGCGCCATTTTAGATAAGTGATCATATAATCCTCTGTTCTAGATATCAGCCGGACAAATACATGGAACATGGTCTTGCTTATTGTCCAGCATTTGTTTCCCGATTTCCGATTTGTTTGACATAGAACTTAACTAAACACATCAATTTAGTTCTGACCGGGCCCGGTACATAGGTCAAAACAAAATCATCGAGGGGCCCATATATCGCTTCTAATCCTAGAAGGAACAGATAAACTTCGACTCATATGTTTGCTCTACTACTTGTTGAACTACAAGGCATGGTTTATAACATCGAGTTACCAATGCGTTTTCGTGCAATCAATGCATAACCAACTCATAGGCAACAAATCATATCTCTAGGTTTGAATACTTATATGATATTACCGTCTCACGATCACTCGAGATAAATGGAGTGCGAGTCAAAAATGTTCCAGACTCTTTAAATTGCTTTGATATTTGAATTTTTTTTTAATGTTTAAAAATTTCCATGTTTATAAAGACACATCTCATCTATAATACCATGTTTTTGATAAAATTCTCCAATGACATATATGACCATTAGCTTTTATGGCTCATCATACAATCTAAAATAGAAATATATTTTATATATTTGAATGACTTAGGTAGGGTACATGTTATATAACATGATGTACGACCCAAGTTATGGCCCATATATCATATTAACCAGGCACGTACCCACATGTTGCGCGAGAATAAAGTTCTATAGTAATACTAACCGAGCGGACGTGTGTATGGCGTTGTCCTTGGTTTCAAGTAGTGTGTTTTTAGAAGTATAGTAATCTTCATCGACTTATTTCTTTACTACTACAAACATATGTGAAGTTTCTTAACAAAAAGCCATTCAAATGAGTACATAATGAAATGATGCATATAGGAAACTTGAGAAAAGTAATGATCACTGAAAGTAGACTATAAGCAAGAGATGATAATTCACATGAGATCCTTCATTAACAGATTTGAAACTTGTTGCATTGTTGGTCTTTCATGTGGATTGGAGTTCAAACATGCTCTTGAGAGACTCAAAACCAACTTAACATGTTTCTCAACTTGGGATGTGGGAGGAGGTATCCGACTATCTCCCACATTTTTTGGTACCAGATAATCTGCAGACAATGTTGGTAAAGATGTTATCAGTTCTCCAGGATGCTTTCCCATGACCACTTCTAGTGCAACAACTCCAAAGCTATACACATCACATTTCTCGGTTGCCACCATCGTATAAGCAAGCTCTATATCCAAAGAAACATGCGACAAAAAAAAGTTATATCAATCCCACAAGATTCTAATATAGACACATATATGTTCATATACATCTTTATATATATCATGACATTTAAGAAGATGTAGAACTACAATCACAAGATCGTGTTACCTGGCGCGATATAACCGTAGGTGCCTGTAATTGCGGTCCAGTTGGAGGAGTCTAGCTTTAAAAGCTTGGATGTGCCAAAATCAGAAATATGTGCCTCGCAATCAGAATCAAGAAGGATGTTGGCTATGGATATGTCTCTATGAATTATAGGTGGTGAGCAGTCGTGATGCATATAAGCCAAACCATTAGCCACACCCTTTACAATATTGACCCTTTTCAACCAATCCAATTCTTTTACAAAGACATCGCTTCTTAAGATTGATCCAAGGCTTCCGTTTTCAAGGTATTCATAAATCAATAATGAGTGTCGGATATGGGAGCAATATCCATAGAGTTTCACTATGTTGCGATGCCTTATGTTCGTTAATGCTCGTACCTCATTAATGAACCCATTATGATCAACATTCTCGGATGATGAGTGAAGTTTCTTGACAGCTACCACATTGTTTGGTTGTAGCTCGGCTTTGTACACAGTCCCATATCCTCCGGTCCCAATGCAATATGCTTCATCAAAGTCATTTGTTGCCTTCAAGATATCAACATACACCACTTTTCCATCAAAAGTTGTAGTAGAGAAATAATCACCACTTTCTTCATCCAATGGTTTTTGTGGAGACTTTTTCTTTTGTTGTTGATAAGAAATGAGGCCATACGTGAATACACCAAGTAAAATAGCCCCGATAAGTGGAATCATAATTACAAGGATAAGCTTATGATGAAAGGGATCATTTTTCTTCTTCATAATCTGACTTGGACAAAGTTTCACTCCCGTAATATTCCCACACAAATCTGGATTTCTTTCTATGGACGCATTCACAAAGTTGGCATAAGGGGGGACTGGACCTGAGAGATTATTGAAAGAAAGGTTGATATCAATCCCGCTAGGCAAACTTTTAAAAGCATCTGGAATAGAACCGGATAGTCTATTATGAGAAAGATCCAATTTTTGCAAACTCTGCAAGCTTTGAACTCCAGATGGTATCTCTTTCGTGAGAAAGTTATGAGATAAATCAAGTTCCGTAAGATGAACTAATCTACCAATCTCGGATGGAATTTTCTCACTGAGCTTGTTATTACTAAGATTCAAGAAGTGGATTTGTGCCCATTGTCCGATACTTGTTGGAATCGACCCATTCAATCTATTTTTGGATAGATCGAGTACTTCAAGAAGTTCACAAAATCCAAGCTCTAGAGGTATAACACCTGAAAGATGGTTGCCAGCCAGGTACAAATCCAACATATTTTTCATCTTCCCAAACTCCTTTGGGATCTCACCAACCAAATGATTCGAAGACAGATCAAGCCTTTGTAGTTGAGTTAAATTTCCAAACGCTGGAGGAATATAACCACTAATTTGATTGCTGCTCGCCTGAAAATCAGTGAGATACTTCAACTTCGCAAGTGCACTAGGAATGGGACCAGCAAGCTGATTGTTATGCATATAAAGGTGATTTAAAGATGTCAAATCACCAAATGATGAAGGAATAAAACCACTAAGCTGATTTCCATACACCGAAAGTTCAGTTAGAGACTTCAACTTCCCAAGTTCACTAGGAATGGGACCAGATAATTTATTATCACTGAGGGTCAGCCATTGTAGGTTGCTCAAATTTGCTAGTGATGAAGGAATAGAACCACTAAGCTGATTGTGGCTCACCTCAAGCTTAGTGAGAGACTTTAAATTCCCAAGTTCAACAGGAATGGAACCAGAGAGTTGATTTTCATACAAATAAAGGACATTCAAAGATGTCAAATCACCCAATGATGAAGGAATAGAACCACTAAGTTGATTGTTGTACACCGCAAGATCAGTGAGAGACTTTAAATTCCCAAGTTCAACAGGAATGGGACCAGAGAGTCGATTTTCATACAAATAAAGGACATTCAAAGATGTCAAATCACCCAATGATGAAGGAATAGAACCACTAAGTTGATTGTTGCTCACCTCAAGATCAGTGAGAGACTTTAAATTCCCAAGTTCAACAGGAATGGGACCAGAGAGTTGATTTTGAAACAAATAAAGGACATTTAAAGATGTCAAATCACCCAATGATGAAGGAATATAACCACTAAGTTGATTGTAGCCCACCTCAAGCTTAGTGAGAGACTTTAAATTCCCAAGTTCAACAGGAATGGGACCAGAGAATTGATTTTCATACAAATAAAGGGCATTCAAAGATGTCAAATCACCCAACGATGAAGGTATATAACCACTAAGTTGATTGTTGTACGCCGCAAGATCAGTGAGAGACTTTAAATTCCCAAGTTCAACAGGAATGGGACCAGAAAACTTATTCATTGAAAAATCAAGATATACAAGATTGGTCAGGAGTCTGATTTCTGGTGGAATGGGGCCAAAGAAGTTGTTTGTATTGAGATCAAAATGTGTAAGATTGTGTAGCAAAGAGAATGGAAATTGGTGGAGTGTACCTTTTAAGCCGGATGAACTGAGGTTCAACCTGTGAATGCTCCCATCAGCATTGCAAAATACTCCAAACCAAGAAGTGCATGGAACCGATGCACTCGAGTTCAAAGGGAGGGAAATCCATGAAGAGAGCAAGGAGTTTTTTGGGATTTCAAGGCTTTCCTTCCATTTAAGAAAAGCATTGGCTTCCCCCAAAGAAGCAGAACCAAAATTTGGTATCTGGGAGAGTGTGATGATTAGCAGAGTTAGAGAGAAAAATAACAAGTTTGAAGAAGACATTATTTGCTTTGCCATGTTGCTTTAAATAAAAAAATGAATTGTTTGCATGTCCTAATTTATACTTGAGCTACCTTTTTTTCCTGTTTTATTTTTCATATGCTTGAAAAGGAAATTTGGGAAATGTCATATTTTTCCACAAGGTGTGTCTTTTAACGTGTCTAAATTTTCCACAAATGTGTGTATTACACTTTGAATTGTATCTATCTGTCATGACATTAATCCTTTTTTTAGAACAATATAATTTATTGTAACCCCAAATTTAAAAAGGCGTTAGGATTACAAAAAGAATCCATGTAGTATTATATGTTATTAATTGTTGGATTTAACTATGTATTAATTTAACTTAACTTGATTATTAGGCATACTTATTTTTGTTTTCTGATAAATGCTAATAGAAATTTCACTCAAAGCGTCTTTTACCTCAAAATTAGTTCTGTAACTAATTAAGACTATTAATATTATATAGATGATCCACGTGAAAAGTGTGTGAATGGGTCAATGGAGATAGGGACATAACATAAGGGTCCTTTAAAAGAATGTGAACAACAAATAGACATGGTGTGTCCATAGAACGTGTGAATGAGGGAAAACCGTAAATTAAAGAATATAAATATGAAGATAATTAAATAAAAACTGATGGTTGTTATTGTTCCCTGCAATCAATCTATTTCATCTGTTAATTCCTTTTCCTTTTATCTCCTGCAGCGTCTAAAACTTCTCATACTTACACAGACTTAAAAATGAAGATAATTAAATAAAAAGTGAAATACAACTTTATTATTGTTTGTTTCTCATATTTCCACAACTGATCAGTTTACACAAATCTTTAGAGTTCATCTGCACATCCCATTCCGTGATCAGTTCTTTCTCTTAGGGTCCTTATCTTCACATCTTAGTGACAGAATTCACACTCCTGATTTTTTGTGGAATAAAAATTGCAATATAACTTATATTACATTTATGTTTGTTTTCCAAGTAATTCTAATAAAATAAAACTTTGAGATGAAAACAAGGGCAGCTGTATTGTTTAATCATTTGAATCCAACCAAATGTGAGTTTAATGAATAGTAACCGTTTACGATCATTTGTACATGCAAGTTGCAAAAATGTGAGTTCAATGAATATTAAATGTTTCATGAAATGCCTTAATGTTTTTTTTTAAATTTAATGCCACGTCAGCTGTATTGTTTGTTCATAGTGCAGTGTTGTGATTTCATAGAGTACTTGAAAACAAATAATATTTACAGAAAATAAATGGTTTCCAAACATTTGTTAGTTGAGAATGAGAGAAGAATGGTTCCCAGGCAATGGTATTGATACATATATTAGTTAACATTACACTTTAGAATGTGAACTAGACTTGCTTATTTTTGTAGCTAGTTAATGTTCTTATGGTGTCTTTGGCAAAACTTGTTTAACATTAAATATCACTTCTTTGGAAAAATTTGATTCCCATCAATATATATATATATATATATATATATATATATATATATATATATATATATATATATATATATATATATATATATATATATATATATATATATATATGGAGGGAGAGCCCTTGTTTTATTTGTTTCCAGATTGCAGGAACAATACTCCAGATGACACTCATTGCATTCATATATGGGAACCGAAAATACCGGTTCGGTTTTAAAACCGCAAAGAACCGAACTTCTAAAGTACATTGCAGTTTTTCGCATTTTGAGGTGGCATTTTCTCACTATCTAGTGATTTAATTTACCATTACAATGAGATATAAAATGAACTAAATTTTCTGTACAAAAATAATTATACAGCCTTAAAAACCCCTGTTTAGAGCTGTGTAATGCAGTTATTTCTCAACCAATTTAACTAGCCAAAACAGAGGGCTACAACCTAGGAAAAAAAAATAAGCTCGTTTGAAGGAGTTATGGTCGTTCAAAGTTGGACAAAACCAAAACCAATTTGCACTAAACGGTTCCAAAACCACATCAAAATGAAAACTTAAACTACAAAATAAGATCTAGGTCATTTTTTTTGCATCCAAACACTCTCACTCACCTTCAAAAGCTCAAACACAAACTCTCCATCTATCATCATCAACTACCACCATTGCCACGACCTACCGACGCTGCCATCGTAGACCGTCGCTGCCGCTGTTGACCGACGCCGCTTCCGGCCATCGTCACCATCATAGTCCGACACCATCTTTTTCTCTTTGTTTTTTTGGTGAAACACCACTAGATCTGCATCAGATCTGATGTGTTTGATGCATTTCAAGTCTAGATCTAGATTTTGTGATTCATTTTCCGATGTCCAACGATGGTTCCACCTATTAGCTGTATATTTCTAAGGTATTTAATATATTACCTAGTCAAAATATTGCTCCAAAATTAGAAGATTGTAATTCCCTATTTTATAGCTATCTCCCTGTATATGTACGATTCTGTTGTGGAATGAAATCAAGGTAGAATTCAATTACGTTCATGGTATCAGAGCCATTGCTCTCTACCTAAAATCATTACTTGCAGATCACGATCTACATCTCCTGCTATTTTCTTTTCTCTACTCCAACCAGTTCTCATGTCTGAAAAGTCGGAAGCCTCATCCACTGCTGTCGCCAAAACCATGCACCCCTGTTATACTGTGGCCAATATTCAACACAAGGTCGGGATTCTCGATGGCTTGAAGGTCTCTTACTCATCATGGGTTAAGTTATTCCAGCTTCATGCCAAGGGCTGTAAAGTCATGACACATACTGATGGTACGAAGCCACCTGCCAAAACTGATCCCGAGTATGAATCATGGTCTGAAATCGATGCAATCGTCTTGCAATGGATTTATGGGACATTATCTAATGACCTGCTGACTCATGTCCTTGAAACTCAGTCTACGGCTCGTGAAGCTTGGTGTTGCATTCAAACCATATTCCTCAATAATAAAGGTTCAAGGGTTGCAGCCCTTGAACACGAGTTCAACAATCTCACCCTGAAAGCCATGCCATCCCTCGAAGCATATTGTCAAAAGCTTAAGGAACTAGGTGACAGAATCAATGATGTGGACTACGCTGTCAACAATCAACGATTAGTTCTTCAATTAGTTCGTGGATTACCTGCTGAGTTTGACATAGCAGCGGCCTACATTAATCAAACTCTTCCTACGTGGGAGACGGTTGTGACTATGCTGGAACTCGAACACCAAAGGCAGACATCCCGTGAGACCTTGTCCCCACCCACAGCCATGGTTGTTGTGCATTCCGCTCCATCTACTCAACTCAATCGTCAGCGCCAAGGCAACAAGTCCAATGGCAAGCGACCCAATTCTCAACAGAGTAGTTCTCCCTCTGCCCCAAGGCGCAACCCAGTGAATCAACAACCCAGGTCTCAACAGGTTCAGCAAGCACATGCACAACCTTGGTTATCCTCAAATGCTCGTGCTCCCTATTGGGCTTATTGGAGCCCACCTCCCTATCCTTACCCAACAACTGCAGGTTGGAACTCTCTATGGAATTGTCAACCATCCCAGACTTGGACTCCTTCTGCCTGTATGCCTGCTTCTCGCACCAATGGCCCAGCAGACAATCAGGCTCATCTCACAGCTTATGACCCAATGGAACCTACTCAAATAGGTGAAGCTTTTCAAGCATTGAATCTGGAACAACCCGATGAACAGTGGTACATGGATTCGGGAGCCACTGATCACCTCACTGGAGACCAAGGTAAAATTTCAAATCCCTCGTTTTCTTTTCCAGTTGGTTTGATATTTGTAAGAAATGGTGCTCGTGTGCTAGTGCAAGGATTAGGTCACTCATTTTTTCAAACACCCACCCGATACCTACACCTTAAAAATATTCTTTACACCCCAAATATCACTAAAAACCTTATTTCTGTTAGAAAATTTTCAATTGATAACAAGGTTTTTGTTGAATTTGATCCATAAGGGTTTTCTGTGAAGGATTACCAGACGGGCCGGATGATATCTCACCATAATAGCTCCAGTCAGCTTTATCCTCTCACCTATCTAGTCACGGGTTCCATCTTTCTGTCCGCAAGTGCTCAAGATGTTTGGCATAACCGTTTGGGTCATCCTGGCCTCCCTGTTTTAGATTTTCTTAGTTCAAATAAAATCATTCCATGTAATAAACGTTGTCGAACTTTAGTTTGCAATTCGTGTCAAATTTCCAAGCATAAACGTCTACCTTTTTCTATTTCTACCTCTTCTACTATATTGCCCTTTGATATAATTCACTGTGATTTGTGGACCTCACCCGTAACAAATAAAACTGAATATAAATACTACATGGTTTTAATTGATGATTACACCCAATACACATGGGTATTTCCGTTAAAGTTCAAATCCAAAACCTTCACAAAATTCTCAACATTTCACAAATAAATTAAAACCCAATTTAACTTACCAATCAAAGCCTTCCAATGTGGTATAGGGAGTGAATTCTACAACCATTCTTTCAAAGACGTTCGCTGACACGAACGGCCTCCACTTCCGGTTTTTTTGCCCCTAAACATCCCAACAGAATGGGAAATCAGAGCGCATGATTCGAAGACTTAATGAAATCATGCTTGTCCTTCTTACACATGCATCTCTTCCACCACATTTCTGGGTCGAGGCTCTACATACGGCATGTTATCTCCATAACATCCTCCCGACTAAGCTCCTCAATTTTCACACTCCCATGTCAGCTCTTTACCTCTGCCAACCTGACTATGGCCACCTACGAGTGTTTGGATGTGCGTGTTATCCCAACACCACCTCCACTCGAGCACACAAATTAGATCTTCGTGCCAAACTTTGTGTCTTTCTCGGTTATCCGGCCCATTTTCGTGGCTATCGGTGCCTTAACCTCTCCACGTGCAAGATTATTTTATCTCGTCATGTAACATTCGATGAAACCTCTTTTCCTCTCGCAAATAAATTCATATCCACACCTATAGACTACTCCTTCCTCGAGTCTACCCCATCTCCCACCTTATTTGATTCTACACCTAACATTCCCACCTCATCTACACCGT